AAACATGCAGAGCAGTGAGAGCTGGTCAGATTTGTGGCAAAATGGATTTTATTTTGTTCCAATTAAAATAAAATATGAGCTGGTAAAAGATACTTTCTTGACTGGAGGTGAAAAGATATGTGAAATATGCACTCCCAGAGGTGATGATATCACAATAAATAAAAGGGAGATTTTCATGAATTGTATACTTTAAATATCTGGAAACCAGAGCAAAAGGACATGTAATTTCATCGTCCTACATAATCAGTAGTGGGCTATTCATTCTAAGGAAAAAGGAGTAAACAATTTTTTTTAATGTTATTTACAATACCAGTGTACTTATAGAGGCCCATCCATTTGAAGATATTCTGCTAATAAAAGAATCAGTATCCCTTTTTTTTTTCTTAAGATACAAAAAGTGATCAGTTGAATTACTCAAATCTTAGCCAGTTTTTCATCCTCATTAGCAGTTTGTATTCTTATGACATTGTTTTGGCGTAGAGGAAAGAGAACAGCTAATTCGTAGGGTATCAAATCAAGAAGAACACACATGTCATATTATTTTAATTAGCTCTCATGAGTTAAACTTTCTATAAATATTGCCAGAATATTGTTTCCTAGTTACCAAGAGTCAAACTAAATGGCTTCGAAATCAGTCAGATGTGAATCAACAGGTGGATTCTTACATTTTCTTGTCTGGCAGAAATATATAGGTGGTTGCTTACTGTGCACCAGTAAGATAGATCTGAAAATAAAAGTATATGCATGTCTGTGTTCTAATACTGTCTCTTCCATTATTGTAGCTAAGCAAAATAAACCATCAGATTGGAAACACTGTAATGTACCACTACAAGAGAGTTTTTCCAAGGAAAATATACTTCAACACATTGAAAGGCTGAAGGAGCAGCTTCCAGAATTTCAGTCTGTTAGTCTCAGATTCTGATTTTGATGTAGATAAAAACTTACATAAATTCTTGACATTGTGATCTGAAGTCTCAGAGATAGAAGAGTTAGGTCAGTGACTCCTTTAGAGAACCCATTGTGGGATCCTAAGCCATTCAAATGTAATTTTCAGGGGAAAGTTATAGTAATTGTTACAGTGATCTTGGAAGGCCAGAGGCAAGCTGTCATTTTGCTGTAGTGTTTCCTATCTCTATGCTTATGTAAGCATCATCTGGAATTTTCTAAAGCTTTTTTGTCTACCGTGCTATTGAAAATGTATTGCCAACCCTGCCAGCCTGTCATGACTGCTAACCCTCATAGAGAGGGTAATGATTTTGCCATATGAAAGAATATTAAAAGCTAAATGTGTGTACTTAAGCTCAAGCCAGAAAGCTAAGGGACAGAGAGGTGAAGAGCCAGACCTGATGGCAGTAAACATATGTTAAAAATGAGAAGATGTAAACACCCTGGCAAACCACTACCCTTATGAATCAGCTAGCGAGGGTTTATCCTGTTTCAAAACTGTTGACCTGCACCATGTCTAAAACAAAAACATGCAGAGACCTGGGCATGCTGATAACCTTCAGGTACTCTTTTTTTAAAACACAGATGCATCAGGTGGTTCCAGACTCACGTGACCTTGAGCTGACCTGCCTTCTTAGTATAAGAGCCAGTTGTTATATTTCTACTCTTTTTTAAAAAGTAAGAAATGCTGTTTTGTTTAAACAAGATTTTTCAGAAGTTGACTTGCTTTTGTTAGGTTTTTGTTGCAAAACACTCCTTAAGATGCAGACTGGCCAGCTGTTAACCTCTGAAAAGGTCATTCTTCTGGGAGGGGGAGGCCCGTGTTTGAATCCCTGGTGTGGATGGGGCAGAGGAGGAACGAAATCGTCTGCAATCTAGAAGAGTGTGCTAATCATCTGCCAACTGCTTCTTCACTTTCTCCATAAACTTTGAAAGATTCAAATATCTGACTGGAAAAATCTCAGAGTTTCATGCATTGGAAACAGACATTTACCACCTTATGCTAGTGAGCCCATTGTTAGCAGAAGAGGCTCCTTATAGTCACACAAATTTTGTTCCACGCTGTAATAAGCTTTTGTCCTAGAAGAGAGAGAACTGTGTATGGTATTACTAGATATCATTTGCAACTAACTTGGGCTGGGGAAAAATGGAAATTGATTCTCCTTTCTGCTTGGTAGTGAATAAAATAAGAACAAGTGAGAACAGAGAGATGGACTCTTCTGGAGACTCCTGTAGCAGCTAGGGATGCTCTAGTGTGCATTGACAGAATGGGTTTTAGATTAGTTACCAGTTTTTTTTTCCATCTGTGGTTTCATTGATTCCCAGGTGATGCCAACAAAGAAAAAAAAGGCAAAAGATTTCCTCCTCCTTTACCCTCTGGTAAACTGCTTGTCTCACCCTCTCCACCCACTGCTTCCTCCTGTAGCGCTCAGAAAAACAAGAGCTCAGTTACGAGAAAAGTTAAAAACATTTTGGAAGAAAATTGGAATTCAAATCACAGATGATAATAACATAGCTGAAGTTCAAATGAATATTTCATAAATGTATTTACAAGGGATGCTAAGCCACTAAACACTAAAAATGACACAGACTATGTATGCATTATCCTGTACAGATTCAGCAACGAAAGTCACTTAATAAGCTAAGCTTATGTTAAAATTATAATCAATAAATGCCCATTACAAAAAGAGATTTATCCCTGAGTGTTAAAGGAACAGAGATGGAATTTGCATGCAAATGACACTCTTTTTCTAAGATTTTTCTTTTTCTTTAAGGATTGAAAGGGTTACATAGGAAAGCTAGAAGCAAGCCTGTCTGAGATGTTTGAGACAAAGAATGAGCAAGAATGTTGAGAAAATTGTGGGGTTATAAGCTTGACACTTATAACATGCAAATAAAGCAAAGATATTCTGAAGGGCAAATGAGAAGCCAGTATGTGTTCAATAATATTAGAACAGGAGATAGCAGCATGAATTTTAATGATGAAGATCCTTCACAACTATATCCTTCTTATCTTTTATAATTAATTATTAGAACTATACCTTGAGCCATCATTCTGATCCTTAACAATGGACTTACATCCCTGGCCGTAAGCCTTCTGACTTTATTTGGGGTTATGTTTTAGCTAAATCTGTCAGGGGGATCAGACTGCAGAATCAGGTCTTCACTGCTTTGGTCTTATGTTTCTTTTCTAGCTCAAGAAAAAGAGAGATGAGAGATGTGAGTTAACACAGCAGGAGGTAGACAGAAACTACAGGAATGGAGCTTTATGGTTACCTAATCTAAAATTGGTAGGACATCACTAATGGCAAAACATGGTGATCCTATGATACTGTTTCTGTGTTTTCAAGGAGGGAATTTCTAGAACATTTATGTTGCTATATGAAAGCCAAAGGTAGAATCAAAAGAAAAAAGAAAAAAATCTTATCATGGAAACAGATATGGCCTAATCTGTGAAACTGTTACTTTCTGTAGTTAAGGCGTGCTGAAAATTTCAAACAACGTAACTTTTAACCTGTCCTCCCAAAAGGTAGTTTCGCCAAATTTGCAATGCAGTCTGAAACTTGACCATTAACCCTTGAACTATGAGGATAAAAGTCATAGTTATTTATTAAAGATAATGTATATACCCGACTGTATACCTTATTTAATGGGACAAATGACCTATTTTATTGATTCTCTCTCAGAAGCTATTGTGTTCAGTTACAGGTGAGTGGGGAAGAAAACTATTCTGTGTAGGCATAGGCCTTAGTGGGTTAGACACTGAACTGACCAGGGTGGTCAGTGACCTCTTAATACAGATAAATCAAAGTAGATGTCCGAGATGAATTTTCAGTATTTGTCCATTGTCCTTTTTCTTGGTCTAATGGCCTACTCTTCCTAGCTATCTCAGTGCGTTTGTTGGGAATGACCCACTTCTTTTCCTTCTGAGAAATGTCTGGAAAACGGTAAGTTTTTTGTAGATCCTTCAGTTTGGTCACCCTACTGCATGTGCATTAGGAAGTCAGTGAAGAAAAAATGAGGTTCAATGTGTATGGATGAAACCTGTATCTCTATTACCATCTCTTCCATCTTGATAAGGAAGCTGCCTGAGCGCGTAGACTGCAAGCAGAGGATGAAGCTGGGATTATTTAACCTCCCCTTACCCCTGTTAAAAAACACCTAAAGAAACAAACCACCCACAATTGCTTATGGACTGTAGAGAAGGTAGAGTGATTACTGGGAAAAGTTATCTGGATTTTCACCTGTGGAATGAAATAAACTTTTGCCTTATAGAGCTGAAATTATTTAGAAATACATAATTGTACTCTCTTGAATAATATGTTGCTACTAATTTCTTATGCTTTAGTGTGAATATTTTGCTGTGTTAACAGCCAAAGTCTGTAGTTAAAGTGGTGCAAGTCTGGAGTACAGCCTTGTTGTTGATGCTGTTACTAAGAATAGAATTGGATCATGCACAAGCAGAAAGAGGATGCAGAGCACAGAGAAAACTTGGAGGCTGAAATTTTTGGACAAAGCAATTTGCGCAGAGGAGTGATGTGATGAGCCAAATGTCTCCTTGCTGGAATGCTGCTGGTTCTGGCAGATTGCATGGATTTGGCCCCTTGTTTGTGTGGGGCTTGGAGATAGAAAGCAGGCCAGAGTGATACGGGAGTAGTTACAAAGGACGCTCTGGTAACCGATTGGTTACAGGCCTCTTTACCGCTGCTAGCAATCTGCTCACCAGTGCCCGAGCAGTGACTGAAGTGAGCAATTCTTTGAACAAATGGGGCACTCAGAAAGCTCATAATGTTTAGACAGATAAATATTTATTTCAATTGAGTTCTGGATTTGGCTGAAGAGAGCCCCATGTTAAAATACAAAAACACAGACCTGCTTTCATATGTTACACTTCTATGAAAAACTTCCCTTAGACATAACATCTGGGAGGATGATGACTCTGGTTCCACTGCTTCCTCCCTGCCTCACGTTGAATACCCTAGAGCAACATTATAAGAACAAACCATCTGCTCTCGAGACTAGTTTTCTCTCTTTCTATTAAAAAAAAAAAGTGAAATCCCAACTACTTGGTGATTATTTGAGTTTACTGTGAGACCCAGGAGTTTAAGCCAGCTCTTTTTGGACAGAAGCTGATTAAATTGTCCACTACAGTGAAAACACTGGATGAAATAGTAGAAACAGAGTGAATGTCAAGTAGACAGATTTGGAGCAAAGTTTCAAAGGGCCTGATTAAATAGATATATAAAAAATTGCCTAGGCTTGTGTGCCGGCATAGGACAGCAGAAATTGCTAATGATAGTAAGCCTTACTTGCCTTTCATGGTAATAAACACAATTTGTTTCTTTCTTTATTTAATAAAGTGAATCAAGAATATATCATCAACTAATAAATACCTTTAAACATTAGTGTTTGAACTAGAAGACAGCTAGCACAAGAAACAATTACACAACCATAGGGATGTAACTAACAAAAAGATTTCCATAAGTAATGATGCTCTCTGCAAGTGTGAGAGGGATAATGCCTTGATATTTTTCCTCATGCCATTTTAGTCTAAAGCTAGCAACATCTACAAACTGAAGTGACCCTTTATGTAGTAGGCAGTAACGGGTCTCTTCCTATTCCTATTCCAGTCCTTCCATTCCCTCCCCAATACTTCCACCCATCTCAGCGGTCAGTCTGAATGCATAGCATTTACAGGATCAGGCTCTTGGCTTAGCAAATATATATTGTTACTTCATGTATTTATTTCCATTGAGACATGCAGAATAGGATAATCCATTTCCTTTTGTCTCTGACCTCTCTTTCTTACTTTGCTTTGAAGTCAGAGTTTAAAGACTACTAATTTTGTCTAACAAGCCAAAGTCAGCTTCTGCCAAAGTAAAAGATGACTCAGTTCTCTTTTTCTCACTCACTTGGAGTCCAGAAATGTCTTTGGAAGTAATAGTTTTAGTCACAGCATAAGATAGTTTTGACAAATAAGAAGTAGAGTTTGGATACTAATCATTTTATAGTTGACGTTTACGTGTAATGTAAACAGAGTGCAAAATACAATGTGTAAATGTGTCTGGTGAAGTCTGTGTGGCTACAAAACTGTAGTACTTAAAGCAGCACTTACGAATCTGGCACAGCATTCCTGTCCATCCTTCAGAGCACTCACAGATGTTTGGACCTATGCATTCTCCACCATTCAGACATTTCTGCAGGCAAACAGCTGAACAGATTGACGTGAAACACATGAAAAGATATGCCCAAACTACCTAGGCTTTCAAGATCTGTCTTAGAGTGACATATGCACATGCTAAGTTTTAGTTCATGTGGCTGATTTCCAAATAAGTGAATGTGTTCTATTCATCAGACAATGAATGTTTAGATTTTTTGATATTTACTTATCCTTAAGAATTGGCATTGATAACTGTCTGCTTACCAGTAGCTACTTAGCAATAGCAGCTTTACTATTTCTGATGCCCAGCTCACTGTCAACTAAGAATGTTCTCACCTATATATGATGCATTCGTATGTGTTATATGCACGTGTTACATGTTATAAATAAATAGAATCATAGTAGAGTTTGGTATGTTTACTGCATATATTATTCCTTCGGAGATTCTGAAAGAGTGAATGTGGAATTTAAGAAGTTATTAATATTATCATTCCAAACACTGAATCTGAAGCCATATTTACCACCAGGACCCAAAGGGTAAGAAGCCAATATTTTAATCCAGTTTACATATAGTATGTCATCTTGATTATAAATTTATCCAGTTTATCTGTCAACATCATGGTAATGAATAACCACATAAGGAAAAATGCTCCTTGAAAATATTTTAGGAGGAGAGGGTTTTTAATTTTATGTAAACTGTAGGCAGATATGGTAGAATTACAGAGTAAAAACACATTCTCCAAATTATGCACCAAATATATCGGATGACCTTGGCAGTGTATCAGTTTGGAAGGCTTTATAGCAGGCTTTAAATAATTCTGTATTTTGAAATATATGGCATTTATTTGTAAAACATAACAAAATATGTAATTTATGTTAAAAATAAAATAAATACTTGAAATTTAATACTATACAAATGAATGTCCATGAAAATATGTATAACAGACAGTTTCATGAAGCAGAACCAGGGTTCCCCTACACACACATTTTTTCTTTTGCAAGTATCGAATGTTTATAGCATTTTGTTTTACCTGTACTTATGACTGTTTTTCTTCAAACTGCTGAAACAGCAAAACAAATTCTATTCTCTACGTTACTTTCTAACACTAAAAAAAGATTACAATAGATGTTGACTGGCTTAAGTAATAAACAATAATCTGTATGATGGACAACAGAGATGCTTACGTTTATTACAGTGCTTTCCCTTCCAACCAGATGGGCAGTCACAGACATTTGGGCTTACGCATTTCCCTCCATTCATGCACATGGGATCACAGACACCTGCAGATATATATCAAATGAAGAACATGATAGCTGGGAAAAGGGGAAGACTTTACTAGAGACTTATTTACATCCTTTAATAAGCTTAAATTGCTTGTATTTAAAAACCAAAAAAGTAATTTGGATTTGAAAATCTGAAACTCAGACTTGATAGCTTCCCTAATTCTTTCTGCAGTGTGCTGAGCCTTGTGTGGAAGCTCTCTTAAAGAACCTCCTGTAAGAGCTGCTTCACCAGAAAAATGAGAGAGGCATTAATTACAATGACTCTCAAAGAAACAAGTAAAGTTTCTGTGGCAGCTGTTGGCAGACCAAATCTTTTTTAAAGCTTTCACTTGCTGATTGGAAAACATATTCTCAGATGTTCATTTGGATAGGAAAGGACTTACAGAGAATAGGTGGGCTTCACACAGTTTTGGGAATGTTCTTGCGTTCAATCAAGCTTAAAGACAGTTCTGTAGTCCTCTGTGGCATTTTTGCACTGTTATTTGTTGAAGTACTTACCTTTTCCTTATATTCATTCACATGAACAAGATGTGAAAGTTAAGTTTTTCTTTCAACTGGAGGAAATTAGATCTTTTTTTTGTTAGATTTCATTAGAAATCTAATTGATAATATTTGTGTCTCATGTTAGGCCCTGCATTCATCAATTTTGTTTTATAAAATCCAACAGTAAAATCTGACTGTTCTGGCAAGTCAAACATCTGCCATCCCAATGCACAGAATTCTGTGACTATGACACTTGACAGAGGAGGATGCCCTGTGCAGATACCTGAAGTCCATGTCTGCTGTTTCTCCTTGTCTGAGAATTGCAAGAAGGAACCATTAGAGGCAGTGCAGTTTAGAAACATGATCATGCTGATGTAATGGAAGTAGGAGTTATTAGTCTTTTACGCAGAAGAAGACAATTGTATCTGATAATTGGATGGAGAAGAATAAAGCTATGTAATGTAGTAAATAGACTGGACCGTGAGAGTCAGGAGGAAATTTTTTTAAAGGTCTGACAATAAAGTTTTGAGAATACCTTTTTGTTGAACAGCTTCTGCCATTCTTTCTAAGGCTTTAAATGCACAATAGGATTTGCCAGTGATTCGTTACTGATAGCAGTAATCAGCTGCAGTGTGATGCTGCCATTCTCCCTGCTTGCCAGGCTGGGCGGTCATGAACCACCAAGCTCTTCCTCAGCAGGGAGCAGGTCACCTCATTCTGCAGGCACTGTTGGGGCTGACAGCTGGCAATGTAGCATTGCAGTGCATTTATTAGCCTTAAGGTTGTGATGTCTTTTGGCACATCACAGCAGTGATTAAGACCAAAACTGCAATACTAATACCTTGGCAATTCTGATTTCCAGACCACCGGTCTACAGGGCTCTGAAACTACCACAACCCTCCCCCTTCCCTCCCCCCCCAGATCTTTATTGTACAGACAGAAGATTGAATCCTGCAAATAGTTTCAAAACAGGAATGATTGTAAAGAAAATAGTGTGCAAAAATACAGGAATTGTTATTTGATGGGAGGTAACCATCTGCTCTTCTCTTATGTATGCTTGGGCATTTTTAGATATGTAGCTTTGGGTTCCCTAATTATTTTTCTGATGCACTGAAATGTTGCTTTTATGGCTTTTCCTGTCTTGGTCACTTGCCCTGTTCCTTTAGTACAAATGTTGCTGTACTACCAGCTTTTACAGCTACATTGCTGCTCACAGTTGGCTGCTATATTTGCATTTTACTCTGTGCCAAGACTCATAGATCTCCCAGCACAGTGACCTGCCCTTAGGCAGGTTGAACTTACCCACACCGATTAGGGCTGGTTGGATCCAAGCCCTTAAACTGTCATCCTCTTTTTCATTCTTTCTCCACCTTTCCTGATCCATGCTATAATCTTGGCCTCTGCTTATTGAGGCTCACAGGGATCTAGAATTCTTGCTGAGCTATCAAAAAGTGCTGCAACCAGTCGTTAAAACCTACTTGAGTTCAAAGTGTAATGGCAACCATAACTCTGAAGTCATTTAACCTTTTATTTTACTCTTCCTTTCTTCCCCCTTTTTGAGCCTACATCGCGACCAGCAGGCTTTTAACCTACAATCTTATACTATGTTTTATTTGACTTCCTGTTTCAATTATAAAATAGCTTAAGCGTTCAGAATTTAGAAAAGATGACACCAAACCATAATATTTGGACCTAGAATGCAAATAATCTTAAGCTTTGTAGTGTTCACTGACCGTAAGGTCCCCAGTGCTAACATGCTCTCCCAGAATCATGCTATGGAAATCCAGGGATTTGATATTCAGATCATATGTAAAAGGGAGTATAGCTTTCAGTTTGTTAAATATCGTGAAACTTGGACATTGTCTTCCTCCCCCCACTAAAGAAGGAACGTCAAGAAAGAAATAAACAAGCGCAATAATACATGTTCTGACAGGGCTCTCTAATTTCTCTCTCTCTCTTTCATTTTCTGTATTCTTTCCCCTTTCTACAAAAAAATAAAAAATTAAGATTTTCTTAGTTGTTTTGTACGGATATCAGACTTTCTAAATCATGACAGTAGACTCTTCCTTCAATTACAGGGAGTCAAGCTAGTGTGCTTTTTGATTCAGTTCTGATTTTGGGTTTATGTATAACTGAACTTGTTCAGCTCACTTTGCCTTGTAGTTCAGCAGAACTTTAAGTAGCTATTCGGATCAGTTCTGATTTGAGTAAAACATAACAGTTCAAACGGATTTTCAGCTTGGGATATATTTGAGACTTTAACTGCCCTAAAAACAAACAAGTAACAATGGAAATATAGCATTTTGACTTTTTGTTATTGCTTGTAGCCTCCCTCACTTAGACGATAACTGAAATCCAAAGAAGTTCAATTCAAAGTTAACTAAGGGAGTTAGTTAAGTGGGAAATACAGGATCAGGGCCACACACGTTCTGAAGGGCAGGAGCACTACTGACGTTCTGCCCTCTTGTGCAGGTCCCTTCTCTTCTTGATACGGAATTCACAAGGCACATTTGTGTAAATGAATGCAGTGTTATCTATCCTTTTTTCTGTCTGACATCTCTGCCTTGTTCTCTCTAACTTTCTTAAACACAATTCTATTTCAATACCCATAAGACAGCCTTCAACGTTTGTTGATTATAAGTAGTTCTGATCCTTTCTAGTCCCACTCCTTGGCCTCCGTGGAAGAGCTCTGATTTCAAAATAGCAAACAAAAATGTTACAGCCTCTCATAGGAAAACTAAATAAATTATCAGGCACCAGGAGAGCAAATCGAATTATCCTAATCCTCCCAGGCATGGGCATGACTTTGAAAAGACTCCAGATTTCTTTTTTTTCTCCTCCCCCTTGAAAAATGCCTAGCATCTTGACCCAAAGACAGCAGTGGTTTTCCACCTGCCTTGGGGACTACCCTTAATTAAATTGATATAAACACGTTCATGTTTTTCCTTTGTTACAATGTCGGAGGGTATATCACTGGGGGTGGGGCGAATCCTGAACTATCAGAATATCCTAGGTGCAGTCAGTATCACTGAAGTCCACTCCCCGTGCTGTCAGCATCAAGATTTCCAAGCTTCCAGTAGGAGCTGAAGCACAGAACTTCATATGCAATTGAGTTACTCAATTCTGTGAAGGGCGTGAAGGCCACAGTTTAGAGAGGCATTTCGATGATCTTATGTTTTCCAAATGCTGTCAAGTTAGATAAGGTAAACCTATGCTGGAGGTGATAATGCAGGTTAGAGGAAAAGCATGATTACATGCTGCATTTTAGGTGAGGAGTGATTTTGATAAAGGTAGCAAGCAGCTGTAGGTGTTAAGATAAAATATAGTGTTGCATAGAACGTCATACATAATATACACTATTCTCCTGTGGAATGAAAGGCATTCGCATGTTGCTAAGTTTTCTGTTTTATGCAGCAGCTATTTCTCTTTGATGGCTTTAATGCATTTTGACCTTACAATCACTTAAAATTTTTTTTGACCCTTTTTATAGCTTATCCCCTCTAGGCTGACTTGACCGAGTGAAGTGCTTCTTGCAATTCTTTTTATCAGCCTCCACAGAACACCATAGTTCAATTGATCAACATCCTTAAGGTAGTCAGAGCTCCTGGTTTGTAAGCCAAAAGTTACAGTTTCCCCTTCAAAATAAATGTTTTCAGAGATTACTAAAACTGTGAGAAAATAAAAAGTTAAATGTTGTCTCTAAAGTCAGGTAGGTCCTCCCGGTGCGGGTAGCATCAACGATGGACACCCACAATTCTAGTGTCTTCCTTTGTCTGCCCTTCTTGCAATTGATTTACCCTAGCAGTTCCCTTAAAATGTAAACAGGATTAAGCAAAATTTCCCTGCTGTGGAACACCGAAAGGAACCAGGGCAAAGTTAAGCAAAGGGCATGCTTTGCTGCAGCTCCACTATGTTATGCTGCAGCTACTATAAGCAATTGAGAGTAACCTCTTATTCCAACGATATTAGCCAGCAGTTCTCTCTGATCAGTTTAGAGCGACTGAAAGAAACCAGACATTTCCCTCAAACTCTCACTGGTTCTGTGGATTAGCAGACAAAAACTTTTGTGGCTGAACTTAAGCCCCTTTTTGATTCAAGTACCTCATTACACCTTCTCTCAACTAGAAGCAGATAATTTTTTTTTTTTCGGCTTACAATTTTGTTGAAATAGGACAGACTTCATCACTACCCTTTATAAAGTCAAAACAGAGGGAATATTAAATCAGGCTCCTAAAATTTTGGCAGAAAGAGGCCCTTTGGAATGTTTTAGGAATGCACTTTGCAGCAGCTGAACATCCTTGTCCTTTCCTGACAATGACAGTGCACAGCCTATTTCTTTCTGAATCAAAAATTACCTGTCATCATGTATCTTGAGTCACGCTGCTGATGAGGAGACAGTGCGTCACACTGCAGTGTTGATTAGAAGATGTAGTTTTCAAGACAACTGTTCTTTTTTTTGCTCTGTAGAAGCTGAGAAAATTGACTTGCTTTTGCATGCATTCTGCCTTTGGATG